TACAACATCAAACATCAATCATTCAAACAATCATGCATCGCAAAATAGTCATAACTAAAACTATAAGGGTAAATCAATCATTTCAAACATGACCATCAAATAAATAGTAAAAAAAGAAATTAACTTTTCCAATATACATTATTAATATTTAATTATTCACATGACAAATTCTAGCTTAATCGGACTTCTCTTAGGAACCTAATTGAACATGCTCATATAATGACTAAAACATAAATAATTCAAAACTTGCTTACAATTATAAAGCATTAAATTGACCATTTCGTTATGCAATTAGGTATATTAAAGGTTGACATAACAAATCTTAGACAAGTTCGATTTAAATTCAAGTATTAATTAGAGAAACATATTTTGGACCAATTTGAACTCTTAGAAACATTATGGGGTCAAACTAGGACTTAAGGTAACTTAGAGCCTTTAATGAACCAAAATTTACCATTTTTTCAGTGATCCAAAATACAAGGGATCAATCCCCTTTCACGGGGGAACAATATTTAGCATTCTAGTATGCAAAAAAACACACACGAAGGGATCGATCCCTTTAGGTAAAGGATTGATCATTTGTCTTAAGGGATCGATCCCCTTTCACAGTCAAACATGATTATTGTATAACATGTTAATTGGTGTTATGGAGCATGCTATATAAGTATTTAGATGTTTTCTAAGTGGTGGAAGCATGTTTAATTATGTTTATTTTCTTTAGGTTTGAATGATTGATGTTTTAGTAACTCATTCAACCATGATCATATGAAATTCTGCAATTTTCCAGAAAATGGATTGATCCCTTGAAGAAAGGATCGATCGAAAACCTACTATTATGAAAAAGATTGATCCCCGTGAAAAGGGATTGATCCCTTTGTTGTTTGCTCATTGAAAATCAGTAAAAATGCATTCATTAAAAGTCCTAAGTGTCTTTAAGTTATAATTAAACCTCAGGATGTTATATTAGTTCAAAATGGTCCTAGAAATGAAACATTAATTAATATTTGTCCTTAATTTGAAAATTTATGAAACTTGTTTTATCACTCTCTATGATGTCTAATTACATAATGAATTGGTTGATTGCATGTTTATTGTTTGCGTGGAAATTTTGTATTCATTACTTTTTGGTCCCTAAAGTCGTAAGCTTAATTAGGTCCTTGAAGGGTGTTGGATTAAGTTGAAATTTTTATGTACCTCTAATAATTGACATGGGACAAGCAATAGTGAGTTGAAACATTGGTTAAATCAACGTTCATTTCAAAAAACTGAGAAATGTCTAATTACCCTACTTGGCAATAACGCTTATCTTGTGATGTTACCTTGTAAAATGTTGTATATTATACGCTTTATGACTCCGATGTTGTGATCGCCCTATGAATGTTATTTAGTTAATTACCTATGTTAGGGTTATTTGTCTAATTCACTTCGGAATCTAATGAGTGCTATGTATACCTTGTCATATTACATGATCGGGTATAGGGTGTTACAGTCGAGGAGCAAGTTTTTCTTAAAGTATCTCCGTAGAAAAAATTGTTGAGATTTGAACGTAAGGGTAAGTTGAGATCTAGATTTATTAGTTCATACCGGATTGATTCTTCAAAGAGTAGACCTAGTTGCATATAAGTTAGAGTTGCCTTCGGAGCTCGAGTGTATTCACAATGTTTTTCATGTATCCAAGTTGAGGCGATATCATTCTAACCACAATCATATTATTCAGACCGAGGATATTCAGTTGAGGCCTAACTTGTCCTACGAGGAGGAACCTATTCAAATTCTAGATTTTGATGAGAGAGTTCTTTAGAGTAAACGTATTCGATGGTTAGGGTTCAATAGGGTAATCAAAGCCATGTAGAGGCTACCTGGGAGACAAAGGAATCAATTTTTGTATCTGTTCAATGTAAATTTTGAGGATGAACTTACTTTTAGGGGTGGGAGTTATCACACCATAATTTTAGGGGCTTATTTTTTTTTATTTTAAAATGCATGAACTAACGTATTACTTCTTTAAAATTTCAAATCAAATTCGTGATATAGTAAATTTTTGATGGCTTGAGGGTTGATTTTCCCTTTTATTTGATAAGGCCTATAAATGGTAACAAGGAAAAAAAAAGAGGTTCATGAGATTTAAAATTGTGACCTATTGTGAATAGTAAAACTAAGCATCTATCAACTAGGTTAAGCCATTGTTGATGATTTAGAACATTAAAAATTATTTTTTTTAAAACCTAGACTAAAGTTAAATAACTCGGCTACTACATCATCTAAAAATGTGAGTTTCCAAAAATCCTTAAACCATTCAACTTACCTAACCACCCTTTACTGTCGATCTCAACCACCGTTGGCCTGTAGTGTGAACAGTTGCCACCAATGGCATCATTAATGTCTCCTTGTAGCCAAAACCATGTCCCCCACGCATAGTAGAACCACGCCGATCATCTTGGGAATTGGCTCAAAATATCATAAAAGTCAAGCTTTTTCATGTTGTTTTTCGTCGATTCCAACCATTGAAGCTATTCATGCATCTAACACCGACCACCATTGGTATCCCATGTATTTCTGAACGAAACCCAATCAGTTGGACTCCGTCATCATCGTCGTAGAAAGAGGCAAAGCAATGGAGGTTTTGAGTTTTTGGGAAACTCATTTTCATTGTTCATCATTGTGAATCGAATTAAGTGACCTAAAATATCATCCTCATTAAATCTAGATTTTTTTGTGCTCTTTCAATGTCCGTAATCACCTCATATGCTTCCATGTGTTGCCACTATGCGAGGGGCTTCTTCTTTGCCTGTGAGCCTTCTAGGATTGATTCAATTGGATCAAGCCAAGTCAAACCGATTTAAATTGAGTCAACTTAAATAGAATTGAATTAACTAAATCGAATCAAGTCGAGCTGAGTCAGTCATTTACCAGCGTTGATTGACATTAACGTTGACCATTGATCGGCATTGACTTTTTTAAAAAACTCTTTTCTGATTTTGTTGACATCTTAAGTATGATTTTTTAGTCTGTTTCGTTAAGTTCTAATTTGAAAGCCCTAAAGCAAATCTATTTACTTAAATATGAATTTATGAATTTAGTACTTTAATATGATTAGTAAATTTTAATTATAGAACTGATATGCAAACACATTTCTATAAAGTACTCATGATCCACCTGATCGAATGTCGATTAGATCTCGCATTTCTTGTCCATCCGATCAATACGATTCTCGTACTTAGAGGACTACTTATATGTTTCCATAAATTATTTAAGTACAATTTATAATTCATTATATTATTTTCGATATGTTTTTTTTAAATCCGGTGTTGATTAAAAATCAGAATTTTGTAAAAAAAAATTATTTGCCTCGAATAATTTGGGACTCATGTTTAAAATAAAAATCTGTTCGTAGAGTTGCCACCAATATTTGATTAGGGTGTGATTGGACACCTAAAATGCTTTTGTTATTTTAATAATAATAAATTTTAAGTTTAATTAAATAATATTTTGATTTGTGTTACCAAAAATTTGAGTTCATGAGTCGATTACGTGTAAGAAATTATTTAAATTCCCCACATCACCCTAAATCGATACCTAATTAATTAATCAGTTATCTTTGCAATAAAACTTATACGTTCGAATATTATTTAATTTGAGACCCCCTTTTAAAAGCACTTGAAATAAGACAAAATTTAAATCTATACATCAAACAAATACAATTAGTTAATTATTTTACAACCTTTAATGAGAATAAGGATGTTTAATTATTTAAATACATTGAGACCAGACCTTAGATACAATCTAACAGTCTTTTCTCGATAAATTTAATTAAAAGAAAATAATCATTTTCTCAGTCCGAAGTTTTAAATGAAAAGAATTTTTTTATGGTTACACTTATGGTATACCCCTTTATTTTAAAATCAACGGAAGTTACATTCTTATACCTTAAGACAATCACTTCACCTCTATTTTAAAACAAAATGATATTACCCTTAGTCCCATTATTTTAATCGAGTCAATTATATTTGTGAGGATAGCATACAAATTGATTAAAATTAAATCCTAGACCTATATGTACCAACTTACACATTTACCTACATGATACTTAAAAGCATGAATAAAAAAATATTTATTATACTATATTATACCTGACATGCAAAAATTAATAATATAAAAATATATGCCGTGCCTGTCATTATGGCAAACTATTTGCACGCATATTTATGAGTTATAATGTGAACATGCAAACTAAAGGAATGCATAGGAAGACTAATTGTATTACAGCAAAATACGGAAAGCATACTAATACAAACAAATCACAGTAAAAATGCACATCATGACCAAACAAATAAACGCTGAAATTAGGGGAAAATGCAAACTAAAAGGGAAACAAGTGATATAATACATACAAAATATTCCATACATACATGCTAAAATAAAAACACAGATTTTATAAAGGAAATACACGGCTACAACATTCCATTTTGACACCAAATTATTTTTTAAATTAATACGAAATCATGGAGATACTAAAGCAACAGCATAGAACATGAATAAAAAGGAAACAAAATTAATGATTTACACACAAAATTAATGGCTAAATTACATGAATGCTGAACTGTGAAAAAAAAGCAATAAAATAAATGGTAAATTAAAGGTACACACATAAATGCTAAAAAAAAATAGACAATAACGTAAAGAGTAAGGGAGTTAAATAAACAAACGGATAGTGACTAAATTGATTAGCAAAAATAAAATAGGGAGCAAGATCGAATTAAAAATAGAGTTTTAGGACTCAAGTAAGAGTTTTGTCGAGTGAACAATAAAGACTCTAAGAGGACTAAAATGAAATCAATGAAGAACTACAAATCAAAAAATGAAAATAGGACCAAGAAGGACGAAGGAAGTGATTTACTCTTGTTCCCTTAAAAGCGCGGGCCCTTAATGGGCATTTTTGTGGAACTATAAAACTCATTTGAATAAAAACATATCTTATTTTCTTCTTTCAATTTTTTTTTTTTGATAAAAAACATGTTTTAAAATCCTCTGAAAAAACCCTTTGGTGTTCTTCATATTCCTAGCCGGCCACCATGAGGGGTGGAACCGACCACCGTTATCGGCCATGGAAATAAAGAAAAATGGTTGCTTCACGATACTTTCTCTCTCCCTAACACAAATCTAAGGTTAGTTTCATCAAAATACCTCGAGAATAGAGTAGATCTAAGGTTTTATTTTCGAAATACTCTTCTCCGTCATCTTGTTTTCCATTGATTTACTCTTTTTTGTGTTTTAGGAAAACTAAACTCGAAAGAAAAACCCAACCCTCGAGGAGGCTTCAGATCTAAAGAGATACACTGAAGAAACCTCCTCTTTCCTTGGGTTCAAAAGAAAAAAGACTCAAACAATCACCCAAAATGATGCATGCTAGCACGAAATGTGGTAAAAATGGTACCTTTGAAGAACAAAATGGTGAGTTGTATTTATTTTTGAAAAGATTACAAAGCTTTTTTCTTTCTTTTTTTTTCCATTTCTTCCCCCTTTACAAATGTTCTCCCCTTTATACGAACAGATCTCTTTGGTATATATAACCAAAGGAAGATCAATTCTCTGAAACATATCTGTACAAGTCGTCCTAAAATGTTAAACTCTTCTGATATTTCTTTTTTCTTTTTTTTTAACATATTGAGTCTTGCATGGAAGAGGAAAGGTGACCGGAGGGTGCACGAGACCAAGAGTTTCGTGGGTAGCCTTGCGTACGTCATACACGTCAGATTTGAAGTAATCGAACGATCGGGGAAGTCCAGGGTACTGTGCGTGCATCACACGCTCTAAATTTGGTCATCCAAAACAACTACAGTGTTTTGAAGCAATTGGGGCTGTCATATCGTCACCTAGATCCAAGGGCAGAGATACAACGGCGGCTAGGGTTAGAAAATCCTAAGGTTTCCAACTGAACTTTAAAATTTTGGGTCACATGGGCCGATTAAGTCTAGGGTCAATTTGGATTTGTGTTTGGGTTATATTTTGTACTGTAATTTGGACATTTTTCAATTATTTGGGCTAAATGAGCCCGGACAAAAATGACATATTACAATTATGATAGTAATTTAATTTCATTTGGTACATAAGTTTTAGTTCGCAGATTGTGATAGGCAGACATATTAATAGACTATTTTAGAACTCTCGGACTGCTACATGTGTGCTCCTGATGGTATTATATTTTGTTCTGATTTTGTTATATGAACTGCACCGAACTGATTTTCATTTTGATGACATGATCTCTGGTTACCGTTATTTATATGATTTGTGAATATGTTTTTGGATCATTGGGTATTTTTATGTTTTAACAAATTAAATTGTTATTGGAAAATTTTTCAAGTTAGTCTATAATTTGTAAGGCCTTATCGTAGGTTCTTCTGTTTTGTGTACAGGGTAAGTCTTTACCGTATGTTCTTATGCTATATGCAAAAGGTCCTGACTAATATAAATGGGTGCATGGTTTAGGGAAATTTACACATTCTAATGTTCAGATGGTCTTAGTGGTCATGTTTAAAAAAAAAATTCTGAATAATTTTTTTATACAAGTGTTTGATATTTGTATGTTTTTATACACCTTAAGGAACATACTGGGTTTTTTAATTCGTTCTTTAATTGTATCCTTTTCAAATATTACCAAAACGGAGACTATCAAAAGTTAGCATCAAGAGGATCAATCATTCCTAACTTTTGTGCCCATGTATATTTCGACATGCCCTTTTTGTTAACTTTTGGTGACAAATTTTTACTATTGACTTTTTATATTTGTATTATTAGTATTTTTGTTCTTGACACATTATTCAATTTTTTGGCATTAGCATATTTATTTTCATATCGTTATAGATTTTAGTCGGTAGATGTTTATATAATATGATATATATATAACTATCGGTTTTAAATTTGTTTAAAGCATGAATTTTTTTTTTGCGATGATATGTGACTGATTAGATCTGGTCAGAACATCTGTACCGAGTGTAGAACGTTGCAATATTTGTTAATTTTTAGGATTTAAAAGTTTCGACTAGGTAAAAAAAATGTTGGACCGAGTTATTTTATTTTCAAAAGTTGGAGGGTATCAAGAACCATTAAGCCTATAAATTTTCAATTAAAATAAAAATAAGGTGGAGTGCATCCGAAACCTGCCCCAATTTTTTGTGGTAAACACATAATTCACATTTTTGCAGTAAAATAAAGATTCAATTGAAAAAAGAACAATAAAAGCTATTATTATAATTATCCAAAAATTTATAATTGATAATTATATTAAATCAGATCTATCATTTAAAAAAAAGAACTCTAATTTCTTTTAAAATCCGACTCTATAAAATCATATCAAAACCAAACAGGTTGGAATCCCATAAATAAGTGCAATTCCAAGTTTAGACATTTCATATAAAAGCTTTATGGCAATAAAGATGAATGAATCTATCAAATTACCTGTCCAACTCAATTAGTAAAACGCAAGGCTCTCAATATTATTGTCGTGGGATTGAGTCCCACGGTGGACAATTCATAATTATGACTACCGGAGGAGGTCTTCCACAGAATCTGCTCTCAATCTAGCGTTGGGGGGAACCTACTATCCTACCTTCATCTTACCCCATTATATATATGAGAATAGGGTCAGCTAATTTTTTGATATAGGGTGCAAGTGTTTTTAGTAAGTTTTAAAGTTTGATCCCATAATTCCTGAATAATAATGAGCAAAATTCAAGCAACTTAATCATTAATTTATAAATCTATTCGAGTTTTTGCACACATTATATAATTTTATTTTTAATTAGTAAATATGATTTTCAAGTTCTAATACAAATATTTTATTTTTTAAAATTAAACTTTGGAGGGGCGTATTTGGGTTGGTATATGAAATGATTACAAGATAATATTTATTCAAAATTTTCTTAATCAATTGACAATGAACATACACACCTCCTATAGACAAAATTGCTCGAGCTTGAGACCTTAAAAAAATAACATTTCTTTTTACCACTAAGGTCACTTAATGAGTTCATAATTGCATACGGTAAATAAATAATTCAGATAAAATTAAAATATTGACCACATAATATATACCAACTTTAGAAAAATCTTAATAAAAATAAACAAACTTAATAAAAAAAATAAATATATTCTAACCTTATTATCAAGAAAGAATTTGATCATCTCCAGGTTGATATTAAATAAAAAGGGGCAGCATCATCAAAATATTGTGTAGGATCCATAATAATATATAAAATATTGGCAATAATTAGTAGGCCAGGAAGGAACATATGCCATGAGTTGTGAATATAAGACACTTAAACCAGCACCTATAAATTTTAAAATATGAAGGAAGTGCTTGTTTGAATCCGAACTCGTGCATTAGCAGCCTTTTAAAAACAATAATCAACACATGCACTGTCTAATAATGAGTGAGTGATAAACTACTATAAAAGATGCCCTCCCCTAACGTAACCGGATCACTTGGAGTTCCGATGACAAATGGATTATTAATTTCCCTCATCCAAACCCCACTGGTGAGCTCTCTCTTTGAGCTAGGATTCTTTTCGTAATCGAAATGGCAATCAATACCTTGGATACCAAAACATACCTTTAATGCCCTCCGGATCAGGTTCAAAACCCAAGTTCTGATAGAACTCCACAACTGCAACGAAGTAAGATGATATACTAAGACAATTCAACAACTTGATTGGAGTTTGGTTTCTCGGTGATCAAGGCCTCATACCTTTACTGTCGGCAAAAAGTGTTATATTACCGATATCCCTCTGTAGAAGAGTCCTTATCATCTTTTCAACCATGGCCTTACCAAGGCCTTGGCCCTGCATTGCATGCACAATATTAGAGAACAATATTGAAGATTGCATGAAATAATTATGTAACTTCACAAACCCCCCACCCCACCTTCGTTGCCATTACCAATGTCTATGCCTACTCAAGTACCTGATAGCTAGGATCAACAAGAACATCCCATATTGTAGCATTGAATGCATGATCAGATGTAGCACGAGCCATTCCAATTAGCTTCTTTTCCTCATTCCCTTCTGTCAAATAACTTCCCCAAGTACACTAAGATGTTTATTAATAGTTTTAGGAAAACAAATATCATTGAATTATTGCAATTAAAAAATCATACATTTCAACATTATGCCCATACCTTGATCCGGCAACTTCCTAACCAAATGCAATGCTGCTACCATGTAACTATTTTGTAAAGCCGTGGCTAGTTTTGACAATGGTCTCCTTGGCCAGCCAACCTTTTAAAAAGCATGCTAATAAATCCGAATTCTATAAAGCAGGTGCAGGGTACATCATAACCCAAAAGCAACAAACTTGCAATACATTTATTGTCAGGAATAATCTAGATGCATGGACTGAAAGATCCTTACCTTGTCACATAGGGCCTGAAGCTCATAGACATCCACATCTCCTCCAGAAGAGAATATTATTTGTTGAACTTCTCCGTCAGGATGAGACTTTTCAACAAGCACAAATTCTTCAGGCACCGGATCTTCCTCTTCTTGAAGAGTAGAGGCTGGTTCCACGATCTGTATTGCGTTGTTCTTCAAAATTCTAGGACGGTAAGCAAGGCAGAAAGGGTGCTCCAATGAGACTAGAGAAATATGACGGTGTATTTCCCCTAAAATTCTTTTTACTACAATCATACTATCATCCAATCACTACAAAGAACCCTACACACTTTCAGGTAATGATTCACTAATAGTAGTGCAATAATTATAGACGATTTTTTACAAAGAAATGAGGCAAATACTAATGGTTCTGCTGGTAACATGGCTTAAAATCATGTCAGCTGGTAAGTTGTGCAAAAACTAGACAACTGAAAAGAGTCCAATCACGAGAAATAATTATGTTCAGGACCACCACCTATTAAGTGTATTCTTCATATTGAACCCTACACACTTTCGAGTTATGATTCCTTAATCGTAGTGCAACCATTATAGGTGATTTGCTCTGGAGAAATAAGGCAAATGGTGTTGGTTCTATTGGTACTACGCCATAAAACCATGTTAGCTGGTAACCTGAGTCAAAATTAGACGATTAAAAAGAGCATTGGCGCACGAGCATGCACACAAACGAATCTAGGTCGTTCCAAGGCCAAAGGCCACAATGGCTAGGAGGAAATTTAAGTAACACTAGAACCTAAATCATCTTTTGGGAACACATAACACTAACAGAAGGTTCACAGAAACAAAGAGAAAAATAACAATCTAAGATAACCAATCCAGCATGACATGCATATTAAAGTCCATGGTTCAAAAACAAAACAGAAGTCAAAATACCCAGATCTAATGGACTCCCAAAAGTTTGCCATGAGCCGGAATCCCTTAATCTTTCTGGTTGCTGCAAAAAGAAAAAACAAAGTGTTCAAAATCCTAAACATGCTCTAATTCAATCTTGCTTAATTGTATACGGAAATTATAACCAAGACTGTGAACTCCGCTCACAACAACAACGATTCAGATTTGGGTTTAAGTTGTGGGGAAACAAAAGCTGATCAGATACTTGGAACTGCCAGTCATAGGGAAGAATTGGGCATCTGCAAAAGGATAAATGAAACCCCATCAAAAAAAGGGGAAAAGGAAAATTGAAAACTGGGAAGTGGTTGTTGGAGAGGGTTCTTACAAAGAAGACGGCGCAGCCACGTTGCGAGTAAGCATATCTTTTGGTTTATGGGTTTTGGTTATGGATACTTTTAGTTTAGTTTCTGGTTTTATCCTTTATGGTTAGGCCGATTGGAGTGGACATTCTTCTGGTTATACTTGTAAATACATCGACACCACAGATGGCAATGGCCCTCTCTTATCCCAGTCACTAGTCAACCATTTAAAAAAAAAAAAATTGGGTTAAATACCCTATTCATACATTGATTATTGCAATTTAGGTTTTAGATGGAGAATTGCTAGAAATTAAACAATAACAAGATATTAAGATAGAGGACTAAGAAATAAGACAAATAAGATAAATAAAAGGATAATGATAAGAACACTTGATCAAATTAGGGTTTTATCAAAATCATTCCTGACACGGAAACAAACAAGAATTTGATCGTTAGAAAGATAATAATCTATAGATTATGAATATACAAAAAGAAATAT